AAGTTCGGAGAAGATTCACGTGCGAAGCTCAAAAAAAGACTACGCTTGCACGTGAGGGAGCGTGTTGGAATATAAGAAACATTTCCCGGACCACAACCACAAGCTTGAGGTATGGATCATTGGATTGGGTAATAATACACTTGGGTTGAACCACATTAAAAGATTGAATCTAATCGATTAGTTAGTTCAACTCAAGAGCTTATATATCGATTATTTTGCTCTTGAACTTCCGATGTGGGATGACACTCTAACACTCCCCCTCAAGTGAACAAACGGGTCATTTTGAATCTAACCGGTTAACCACTTGCAAATAAACTCCCATTCCTTTGTTTTTTTAGTGCCGACACCTAAAGGACCACCAGTCGTTGGGTATGGACTTCCAGACGAGCAATCGTGTTAAATGGGCCACTGGCCGTTGGGTACATATTCCATACGGACAACTGGGCTAAAGACTAATGGGCCGCTAGGAATGAACGTCTAGACGGACACCTTGACAAACGAGGTGGGCAAAAACTTGTTCCGATACCATGATAGAATTTAGGATTGGGTGTGGGCAACTGGACTGGGCAATAAGACAATTGGGCTGAACCACATTAAAAGATTGAATCTAATCAATTAATTAGTTTAACTCAAGAACTTATATATAGGTCTTCCGATTTAGGATGCACTCTAACAGAGTTCGGGCGTAAATGACACAAAATAAATATTTCACCTTTTTTTTATTTTAGTAGTCCCAAAATAAAAAAATCCATTTTCTCTTGCCTCAATTTTAACTACACAACTTTATCTTATTTTTTATTAACCTTGTGAAACGACAATTTTCAACTTAACTTGGAGATAAATGGAGTAAATTGTAAAGAGTGAACTATTTTTTTGTTCGCATACAAAAATTACTTATTGACTCTGATTTCAAGGAACCAAATCACAAAAAAGCTCAAGTTTGTGATTGTGACCCAAGAAATGTTTCTTATAATCTAACACGCCCCTCACGTGCAAGCGTAGTCTTTTTTCGAGCATTATTGCTCGTGAAATCTTAATTTTTTTTAAAACTAGATGACACTGAGTTTCAAGCCTTTGACCTCTCGGTCAGTAAGACTCCGATACCATGTCACAGAACTAACTCAATCAGAAACTTAAGTTTGTTGTGGCACAAGAAAAATTCCTTATATTCTAACATCTGATCTTGAAAAGTTTGATATAAGGATTATGTTATTATAATCACATCAAATGGGATATCATAGTTTCAAAATCTATCCACGTCAAATATACAATGTCAAATTTTGGTGTCAAATTTGATATAAGTATGGTTCTGATATAAAATATTGTTCACCCACAAATTATGGGCTTGCCTTTTTGTATGTATTTGCTCACCGATTGAGGATATGAATCTTGCCAGGTGATATAGCTAGCATATATAGCTAGCATATATAGATAATTCGTAAATCCGAATTCGACTCCCGACAACGTTACGAAGAAGATCATGCCCGACTTCTATCAACCATATTGTGATTATAATTAAATTCACCTCCCAATCTAATATCGGGCCAAGTGACCCTAGGGCTTAACTTTCCTTCGGAGGATATGTATATGTTCTATCTACTCCCTCCGTCCCAAAAAGATTTACACGTTTCAAAAAAATTGTGTCCCACAAACCCTTACCCATTTCTATTAAAAAACCACTTTTACCCCTTACTTTTTCAAACCCTACCTATCACATCATACTTTTTTTTCTAATAATCTACACATCGCATCCTACTTTTACCAATCACATCAAGGGTATTTTTGGAAAGTCAACACAAAATTATCCCTCCCTTAATTTTAACTTTAGTCATAATGGGTAACACTTTATGGGACGGAGGGAGTATTATATAGTGAAATTTGCACTAAATAGGACTAAAGCATAATGATTTTCCTAATGTAGGACTTAAACTTTTTTATTCCCTAAATAGGACTTAATAATGACCTAGTAGAAGGGATAATGTCTAGTAATGATGGACATTTAGTTGAATAATGACTACTTGATAATGACCAAAAGTCCTACATTGGGAAATAAAAACATATGGTCCTATATTGGGAAAGTCATTATGTTTTAGTCTATTTAGGCAAATTTATCTATTATATATTATGATGCAATTAGTGTGAAAATTAAATCATAGAATATAATTATATTTGTAAATTAGTTAAAAATTACTTTCTGACCCAACATAATTCCATAGGTGCCCTAAAATTAGATCTCATCAAAACAAAAATAGTTTTAAGTATAACTACAATCATATCAGACCAGATCAGATTAAACTATGTTTCCAGGCGAAACACACCCAAAATAGACTAATGTCATACTATAACGGTTTGAACTCCACCGATATGATTGTGTGTCTATGTGTACGTGTCTATCAATCCATGCATGTACGCAATGCAGATAGTACTCTAATATTATATATATATATATATATATATATATATATATACATACTTCAAAATAATTAGGTTCAATGTTTGAATTCATACACACTATAAAAAGGCCAACATAAGGACCGAAAAGGTTCACCAAACTATTATTTGAGCACGATGACGACTTCCAAACTTGTAATAGTTCAGGTTCTTTTGTTTGTAACATTTCTTGTGGCCCCCCCTGCCACCGAAGGGGCGGCCACGCCGTTGGCCGGTCTATGGGTCCACGGCGCGGTGGCTTGCTCCGCCAGCGGGAACCAGCCGGGGGTGGGCATTCCCGGGGTAAGCGTGGCGGTCGTTTGCAACGGGACCGCCGCCGGCGAGCTCGTGACGGACATAAGCGGTTACTTCAACGGCGTGGTCACGAACTTAAACGGGACTTCTGTTGATCGATCGGTGCCGGTGCCGGTGCCGGTGCCGGCGGCTCAGTGCCAAGCGGTGGTTCGGACCCCGGTCACGGGCTGCCCGCTACTAGCCCAGCCCGGGAATCTCCGTGCCACGGTGTCTATCGGCCGCAATCTCATCCGGACCCTCATCGGTTATGTGGGGACCACCACGCTTGGGCGGTTTGAGTTCGAGCGGACCTTGCTGGTTTCATCATGTCCGGTTGACTTCCTATATACTCCGATCCATAACATATAAAATATGTACTTGTACGTACGCAGTTTGATTAAATAAGTTTCTTATTATTATTATTATTAACTACCAAGTTTGTGTTAAATTAAAGAGTAATAATACCAAGTACTATATATTAAAGTAACACTTAAACATAATATAATCATCGTCTCACATCCAGATGATTGTAATCATTATATTGTATGATCTATATGAATAAATTCACAAACCACTATTACTGGAGTATCAAATTAAATTAAACAAATTTGGTGTTATTGTGATATGAGTCATAAAGCCACGACAAAGTACTTATGATGTGAACAATCAGAGGTGTCATCAACTCTAATAAATGCAACTATATTGTACTGTTCAAGTAATAAATATATATAGTGTCCTCAGTATTTACTCCCAAATTAAGTTTTGTTTTGATGGGTGCCCCAAAATAACGTTTTCTCAAGGTTTAGGATAGATGTTTGTTAATATTCTATACTCTATATAACTTAAAAATAATATCGGAAATTTGATTTTACAATACAAGATGTGACAAATTTATACGGAGTGATTGTTTTATCAAATAAATAGTAAAACTAGCAAAGAAAGAGGTCAAAATTTGACCACGTAAATAATTTTCAAGAACTTTATTTCAAGATGGATGGAGTACAATTATTTTTTTATCGAAGGAAAGTACTCCCTCCATTCCAAAAAGTTTGTTACGTTTAGAAAAAACTGCGTCCCATAAAGTCCGTTACATTTCTATTAAAAAACCAGTTTTACCCCTTACTTTTTCATACTCTACCTATCACATCATACATTTTTCCTAATAATCTACTCATCACTTCCTACTTTTACCCATCACATCAAGGGTATTTTTGAAAAGTCAATACCAAAATATCCCCACATCCTTAATTTTCCAAAAAGTCAAACCGTCTCATTCTTTTTGGAATGGAGGGAGTATAATTCAATTTATGTAGATAGTTTATTTCTTTTTCCCCATGGTTATTTTGACAGCAAGTTGTAGTGTCATATTATGATACCACACTAAATTAATGATTCTACGATTATTTTTTTAAATAATTGATAGTTCCTACATCATCTAGTTCTCCCGATAAACTTCTCTCCTAACTTGGCTCGACTTGAACACAATCTTTTACCCTCTTCAATTGTACTCTAAATTAAGTTGACTTTAGAGTCAAATATTTTTACCTCAAAGTATACTAAAATTGGGGTGCAATTAAAAGTGGAAGTAGGTGAGTTCAAGTCGGACTGAGGTGGGAAGAAATTTTATCGTGGGTTAGAAAGGTAACAACCATTAACAAAATGATGTATTGAATCACAAGGATAGTCGTTCCTTTTTAGAAGTTTACAAATATCTGTATTATTGGAAATGGATGATAGATATAAACTCACATACACCGATACACTAAAATTATTTTAGTGTACGAAAATTCTTCCGTGGTGCTAAGGTCCATATTCATTTTATGAACCTTACCGTAGAAACACCATAGATAAATTGAGTTGTTTGAAAAAAATATCAATATCCGCTCAGTAAAAATGTGAGAAAGTCCATATTTCATTTGTAGATCTGAAGATCATAGAAGCACAACTCATTAAAGTTTAACCTTGTGAATTGTAAACATGCAATGCAGCTCAAATTGGGACAAGAAGTACACGTTTATCAAGATATTGGACTATAGACTTAAGACTACAGCATAATTAAGACGGGGAACAAACCCAAGACAATCTACATTGGTCCCATAAACTCAATTTTAAGAGCCACGCCAAAGCTAAAATATGCACAGAAGAAGCCCTTGATGAACCGAAACCAAGTGGAAAATTCAGTGCGGAGGCCCATGGGGATGGGGCTAAAACGATATAAAATGTACCCTAAAGTGAAGTGGCATAGGCTAAGAAATAAGAATACAAAAAAGTTTAAATAATACATAACAATAACTCTCATTGTCATAATTAAGTTCGGGCAAAAGCATAAAAACATTACACAAATCATTGTAAACATGGATACAGATCTTCTTACATCAACAAGGAACAAAAGCTGTCACAGATTAGGACTTAGGGCAGTACAGAGATTACATATTTACTAACCAAATGATATTCCAGCTTTTATATGAGTAGATATAATGCGTCCGTCTCTATTTAGCAGTTCGTGTCGTAGCTTGCAAGTCCCATCAGCTCTGGGCCTTCCAGCCGCGGGTTATGCTCGAAGCTACAAATAAATAACCAAAGGGGGAAAAGGAACCAAACAATCATTAATGATCAATCAAAACTATATTAGAGTTCAACATGTTAGCATGCTTGGCAACATGATGATTGATTGAAGCAAACCAATCTTAAAACTTCCGTGCAAGGTGTACACCACTTGGTGGGTGGTGTACACCAAGGGATTGCCGCGACACATTGATGGCTTTAACCGACAAAATGTCAGGTCAAATTTTTGTGATCACACTAGGATTTTGTGCCAGTGCATGTCATCAAAGTGTCAGTGCAAACCCTTGGTTTATAACTTGCCAAACTTAGTGTTTAGAAAGAGAGGAAAAGATATAGATACTCCAAACAACCAATAATTTTGAAAAGAACAATAGAAATAGACAGAACTAGAGAAGAGGGTGTTACTTGTTTAGTGGAATGTGCTCAAATGGACCGGTGGTCGGAATTGTTCCACATAGATTGTTGCTTGACACATCCCTGTGAAAGAGAAAAAAACCAGTGTGGTGTTTCTCATCTTAAATAATAAAAGACACCTGGTAACAACATAGAATTGGACAAAGTCCCAAACAACTTACACGACTTTAAGGGTAGAAAGATGAATAAGTTCCCTTGGAATTTGCCCTGCTAACTGATTATTGTTGAGACGCCTGCAGGATTTGAAGCACAAATATAGCTTATTATTAATATACGACATCTTGGTACTTGTCAAGACGAAGAGGGTATGATATCTCACTCCATTAGTTTAATTGCCTAAACAAATAACTAAGTCAAAGTTAAAGTAGGATTTCAAGAAGGAAGAGGTAATAAACACTACTGGAATGGGTAAAAAGGAGTTGTGCTACACTTCTACCTTGCCCCTACCCTATATTTTCACTTACACAAGCTCACAAACACTACACGCTCGTGCAAGTGAACAAAAAATGGGAATGGAGGCAAAGAAACATTTTTGGGTGAAAAGAAATCTAAGTAATGCTTGGGGACACCAAATTGTACCCCAACTTGTACAACGCATTTCTTATCGAATATCCAAAAAAAAAGATCCTGGATTAGAAATGTGTGGTGGGGGAGGGGCACAACTTGGGGTACAATTTGGTGTACCCCAAGCATTTTCAAAAAAATTTAGATAGCCAGAAAGAATGGAATATTGAGACTTACAGGAACACAAGACTTTTCAACTTTCCCAATGACGGAGGAATGGACCCAGACATATTGTTGTTGTACAGATCCAAACTTATAAGGTTCTTCAAGTTACCAAGCTCGTCTGGAATTTTGCCTTGAATGTTATTTTTGTAGAGTTCACTGGGGAAATAAAGATCTCTTATAAGCTTTCGGCTTACAATACATCATACTGTGGCTTAATTTCAACACTTCATTTGAATACAGGGCAAAAAAATCATCTTATGTGACCGCACATTCAAACACCACATCTTATCATTGTATCATATCAGTTTAAACTGCATCTTAACATTATGTTTGGTTCAATGAATTTGAAAGGGAAGAGAAAAGAAAATAGGGAGGGAAAATAATTTTTCATGCTTGGTTAGAAGGAAAAGAAAATAAAATAAAATTGGAAGGAAAAGAAAAAAGAGAAGGCAAAATGTACTAAGAGGTGGAAAAACCAAATTCCTCCCATTTTGGTGAGGAAAATAAGAGAAAACCATTTTCTTTTCTTTTCCATCCAAATTCCTTGAACCAAACATAGTGTAAATATCCAGATTACTTTTGAAGACAATGCAAATACCATCTTGTGAGAATCAAAATTGGCAATGGAGATATTTCAAAGGAAAACAAACTCACAGATATTGCAGATGTTCAAGCTTCCCAAGATCAGGCACCAGGTGGCCGGATAGGTTTGAGTTGCCAAGGTCCCTGCGGTCAATTTCATGTATACAATGAGATTCTTTATGATTTTTTATAAGCCAAGAACAGAATGGATGGATACAAACAAGATGACAAATCTTCAGCAAACAAAAAATAAGAATGGAAAGAAGTATATGCAAAAGAGTACTAAAACTGCACGGGCACCGTAGATGCCACTGCCACTTAATCACAAATCTTGTACAAAAGCATACTATAATCTTGGCTCTTTCTAAGAACAGTTTATGGATCAAATTATAGCACACAGCTCGTGTTTATCAGAATTGTATTTTGCTAGATTTGGGATCAATCATTTAACACAAATCAGGTAAGAAAAATGGGACAATTTAATCATCCAATACCAATACCCATACCACAGGAAAAGAAATCCAGACCTTCCCCCCATCAATCAACAACATTTATAATAAAAAAAGCTGTAATTTTCGATCTAGAGAGGTAAATCGTCATAAGGGACTGAGAATTTAACAAATTTAAGAGAAAAAAAAAACAAAAAGATATGCAGATAATATCAAACTGTTAAGACTTAATTCGAGTTAAACAAGATGATAAGAGTTGACTCACAGGCGGGTAACGTGGTTCTCATGGTTGCAAGTGACATGGAACCAGGTGCAAGGGTTCACCAGATTCGGATCCCAGCTCTGGAGCACATTATCCGGGTCAGACAGGCTCCGGCGGAGGGCGTAGAGCGCGTCGCCTTCGGAATTGCCGGCAACTCCTCCGGCGGCAAGAGCTACTGCTGCTACCAGAAGAACCACCAAACGAGCAGGTGCGGCCATGGCTTCGACCCAATCGAGTGGTTGCGATTTGAGATTGATCTTCTTCTTCTTCTTCTTGATTTTGAGCTGGGTCAATGATCGATCACGCGTGAATCGGTAGATATATAGCCCTACTAGGCGAAAAGAGGATAGGGAGAAAGGGGAGAGGGGAAATGAAAGAAACCCTTTCACGTTTCACACTTTCTTTGACCTTGTCGCCATGTTTACTTGACCTCCTCGTTTCATTTTGTACTGTGTGCTGCCTAAAATCAACTTTTCTCACAATATTCGTTCAAGTTAAATTTAGGAGTGATAAAAAAGAAAACCTACACTAATTTAAAAGAGATTGATTTTTTCAATGAGGAATCGAAGCCGAATTCATATAAAACAGGACGCTGATACAAAATGATTATCACAGATGGAATTGTTCAAAACCATCTTAGAGTATGTTGAATATTTATTTGTTTATTTCATCTTACATACGAAGTATATGGATTACTTTGTATTATGTTATTTATTTTAATATTCTTTCATTATTATTTTTGTTATGAAATTTATTACTAATATGAGAATCTTTTTTGTTATTAATAGTTCGATATTGTATTAATTGAAAAATCTTATTATTTAAATTTGGATTCGTTATTTTTTATTTCTCGTGTTCAAGATCCTTTTAAATTCAAAGTCATTATTTATTTAACAAAATTGTGCTTTTTGTACAAAAGTGTACTTTCATTTTAATATTATTTTACTTTTTCAATCACGAAGAAACGATATTAAACGGGACGAAACTATAATACAAAAATTTAAAACCAACTATCACATATCTAATCATTCAGACCCATCTAGGAGTATGTAGCATATTTATTTGTCTACTTCAAATTATCATATCTGGAGTACTTTGTATTGTGTCATTCTTTTTTTTATATTCTTTTATTATTGTTGTTGTTGTTATTGAATTTACGTTGTGTCGACTTCGACAGAAGCAAAAACAGCTTCTGCCAAACATTATCTACGGAGTATAATTTAATACTCCCTATGTACCTAAGAAAATTCCTTTCTTTGATCAACGCGTAAAATCTCATGACTTTTAAAATAATTTTATTTACAAATGGTAAATAAATAAAAAATGAAAAAAATATATATTTAAAAAGCACATAAAAAACTTTACAAAATAAGAAGTGACAATAATATTTTATTTTATCAAATGATCAGTGAAACACCTGAAAAATAAGTAGGAGTTTTCGATAGACCGTAATAGTAAACAATTAACTCTTTTAGGGAAGGAGGGAGTATAAGGCTGCCTTCTTCAAAAAAAGATTATGGCCTTGTTTGGAATATGGCAGTTGGTTGTTTATGTTGGCTGGTTTGAATGCCTGATTGAGTTAGCTGTTTTGACCGGCTGTTTCAGTTAGCTGTTAAAAATTAGATATTTGGCAACTTTAGTTGTTTATATTTAGCTGTTTGTGAGTAAAATTACATATGAGGACATTCCTCCATTTATGTTAATTTGTGTATGATTTTAATGTTTTTTAAATGTGATAAAATACACACATTATACAAGAAAATGCTTTACATATTTTATTTGTTGGACAAAAAAGGCTACTTTGTTTTTTTTAATTTAAGAAATGAGAATTTACATTTATATTGTATAAGTAGATTTTTTGTATTTTTCTCATTTATCATTCTACAAATAACAACCATGCATGATGTATTTTATTTTATATTTTTTTAAATATGATATCATAAATATAAAAAAATACTCTACATTAATTTTAAATTAAAAAAGTAAATAAATTACTCGAGACAAGCATCACAATTTGAAGTATCAAACATCTTTTGAGACGACATGAGCATTAAAAGTAACAAAAAATTAGACTAGCTCTCGACTAGTCAGGAAATTGCAGGGAGAAAGTCAGGAAATCTTCCGGTGCCGTGAGGATCGCGGATAGACATAGCACCAAAAAAAGGGTAAGAAATGGAAAAGGTGGTGAACTGCTAAATGAGATGCTGCTAGGGTTGGCATTTCAATTTTTGGTTATTCAGTTCTAAATGTCAATTCCAAAAGCTATTATCCAAACAATTAATTTGGCGGTTTGACTAGTCCAATCTGTCATTTATGGTCAAAGATGTCAAATGCTAGGTGAACCGTCATTTACCAAACATGGCCTATGACACAAAGAAAGCATTGAAATGAGGTAAAACAAATCTCACTCTCCAACTTTACTACCGGGCCAAGAACTGCGAGTTTGTTGTCTTCACCTAATTTCATTGGTTTTGATATAATTGGAATAAGTCTTGATCTGGTATGATATATTTGTAATTATATTTAAGGTAAAACTCATAGATAAGCATAAAAACTATGTAAGTACCAGAATAGGAGTTTTAAGTGTTTTAAGACCAAAAAAAGAAGTTACTGCCATTGTTAAACCGCTATGCTCACTATATTTTCACACTGCAAACTACTACACTCTCACATTGTCATTCATTGCCGTCAGTCACTAGAGTATCGCCACTGATCCCCGACAGTGGATCATGACATTGTCATGTTACACTTTCATCATTTTTCATCACACTGTCAACGTGTATTCTAATATCACATCATCATTACATTTTTATTTTGGTATTAAAAGATTTAGGACTTTTTGTTTAGACTTTGGGAATTTGGACTTTTTACTTCTTTTATAAAGAAATAACAATAGATTTTTTTTTCTTTCTAAAACCAACTCATTTACCAAATCCCGACCCAGATTGTATCCACAGTGATTGGTGCCCGGCCTAGCTTCAATGAACCCTTATTCGATACTTATAACCTAGATTTCACCGTCAAGTTTTGGAAGTTGGAACAACGGATCTTCTGACAAGGGCTGCTCCGGCGACGGTGAGGGCTTATCAGTCGGCGCTCTGCGGCGAGTACCTGATCTCAAATCCCCGATCATGAAGCTCGGGAAAATGGATGCCCGTACACACTACCTTCCAGAGGAGATAATCAGAAGCATTCTCAGCCGACTTCCGGCGAAATCCCTGATCCGATTCCAATGTGTGAGCAAACAGTGGAAAACTACCATCGAGACTCCGTCTTTCATCGCAGACCACCTTCGTCATCAATCCCCTTGTCCTCTTATACCAGGTAAAGACGGTCTACATTTACTGGACTGTGAAATGCAGGTGCCAAAACTGCTGGTGCTACTTTCGGAAATTGAGCTTGAGTCTGCTAGCATCGTGGGTTCCTGCAATGGCTTGCTCTGTTTGGAAACCGTAATGGATCCTCCCGCTTTTTTGCTGTGGAATCCATTGATTCAGGAGCTCCGGTGGACTCCCAGGGCTAATGGTGCTGGTAAGGGTATGATCAAAGTAGGGTTTGGATTCAGTCCCATTATTAATGATTACAAGATAGTGGTTGTTTGCATTGAGAGGTTTCCTCTTTGGGTTGTCCATGTGGAAGTGTATTCATTAACCTCAGGCTCATGGAAAGTAGTAGTAGTAGAACATGAGATCTTAAAGGGAATCTGTCTAAAGAGTGCAAGTGTGACTGGAAACGGAGTTGTGTTTTGGCATGGGGCGAAGGGTCATGCCGATATGATAGTTTTGTTTGACATAGCATTGGAATCGTTCACATTAATTCCTTGGCCAACCATTTCACAACCCAATTGCTCTTATAGACTTGTGGTTTACGAAAACAAACTCGCTATGCTTATTAAAAATCGGTCATTTGAATGCTCTGATTTGTGGGTGATGGACGAGGGGGATGTAGCAGGTTCAGATGGTGAGAGATGGAGTTGGACTAAGAAATATAACACCCCCTTTCCCTCCGACGCATATCCCTTGATGATTTGGAAGAATGAAATTGTGTGCTATGTGATCGAAAATGCCGATTTTGTGAAATTCAGAATTGCTCTCTTCAACGTCACTACTAGTGAGCTCAAAATGACTGGTATGCGTGGCTTTGAGTGTATCGGTTATGTGGAAAGCCTTGTGCCAGTTGGGGGGGGGGGGGGGAAAGAAGTTGAATGCAACATTTTTGTAGGGTCTGAGCTCTGAAGAGCTCGTTAACGGTTGAAGGTGATGAACCAAAACTCACTCTTATATCTGCATGCTCTATTTATTCTGCTAATGAACTTACGAAGCATGTTGCCTTCGTGCATATGTAGTGATGCCAACGGTTATTACAATCGTTTATCCCAAGATTTTAGTTCAAGGACTGGTTTGTCTAAGATTAGAGGAAAGAATTGATTTGGACTGATTAGTTATACTAGAGCTGGAATTAAACGAGAACTAGATTGTTTTCTACATATCACCTTACTTATTTCAAGGTTAACAATTTCATCATGTTTCCCTCTTTCTTGATTATGAACAAACGGCCCTATATCTACTTCGTTGTTTTTTTTTGGGTGAAGGGCAGAGATAATTCTGGTCAAGCACATAATATGCTTTCTTGAGAGCTATTTATAGTTATGAATGCATATACCTGGTTTGTAGTTATATTTTTACCTGAGTTATATTTAATTTTAGTTAAACTTATATAAGTGATATTTGATTATTTGACTCCAAAGTCAAAATTAACTTGGGGGTGCAATTGGAGGGGGTGGGGGTGTGTTCGGGTCGGGCGGGGTGGGGGTGTTTACCGGGGCAGGGTTGGGGGAGGGGGAGGAGAAAGAATCCATTCTCCCCTGTCATGACTTATGAAGTGAATGAGAAGTCTGCACCAAACCATGTGTGCCACCTCATTAGTTAACTAGCACTTGTTTTAAGGACCAGAACTCAGAATTAAAATTTGAATGAAGTTACTTATACTTCAAAAGTTGTACTCCAAATTCTACACTACAGGTATGCACCTTTATTTATGGCAATGTGATGGTTCACACAGGCACAAAATACTAATGTAAATTTTTTTGATCGCACTAGGATGTTATGTCAGCGTGAGCTATCGAAATGTTAGTGTATAGCTTTGGCATATACTTTGGAAAACATTCTTTGGGGTATCCCTAACATGGTTGTTAAAATATTGTTTCGTCGATGTGGATTATTCAGTACTTTTTTTGTGTTTAGGCACTGTTGGCTTAGCATATGATGAGGGACTTTGTGACACATTTTGAGAATGATTCTTAATTTTTTCTTTGGATACAAGTATGTTGGAGTTAGGGCTGGTTTTGAAAAATCGAAAACCGAACTGAAATCAATCTAATTGTGTCAAAATAAACACCAAATTGGAAAAACTAAAATCGAACACAAAAGATCAAACCAAACCGTTTCTATTTTGTTTTGTTTTTTTGTTTTGGTGTTTGAATTCAACCGTTTAAACTCAATCATAGGAATGATACGGAGTATCTTTTATGTTTTTCTCTTTCCATTCTTTTTGTAGAAAGTACTTTGTATTACGGAGTATTTTTTATAAATTATTTCTTATTTAATGCTTCTTCAATTTTCTTTTTATTCTCCGATGAATATTGTTATGATGATAAAATGAAAGTCTTGTATATATTTCTATAGTATGCTTTTTAATTTAAGCTTTATATTTTCTCATTTGGGTTTCAATTTTTCACTGCTAATGAAAATTTTGGTAAATGGCTTTTTTCTTCGGCTCGGTTCTAGTGACACCGGAGAACGGTGCCACTAGCGGTGCCACTGAGTTTTTGGGGCACCTCCGGTGCTTCGTTCGTAAAATTGACGGTTCCTACCCTCCTAACCCACCCCCTAAACCCCCCATCCTACCCCACCCCTGCACCCCCACCCCAACCCCGCCGTAACCCCCCACAAAATGTGTGGCTATTATGCATTTTGTGGGGGCTATTATGCAATGCATTATGCATTGCATAGAAGCCACACATTTTGTGGGGGGGGGGGGGGGGTTACGGCGGGGTTGGGGTGGAGGTGCAGGGGTGGGGGTAGGGTGGAGGGTTTAGGGGGTGGGTTAGAGGGGTAGGAACCGTCAATTTTACGAACGGAGCACCGGAGGTGCCCCAAAAATCCAGTGGCACCGGAGTGCTTAGGGCATGTTTATGTTTGAGAATATCTTTAGCGTTTTCGATAAAATTTTAATGATGTAGATTATTTTTAAAATGCTAACATTAAACATTGCTCATAGATATGTTTTTCAAAACACTAAAGATATTCTCAAACATGCACTTAGTTCCGCAGGAAGAGGTTGTAGACTTCAGACTTTTCCATTTTCCAATCTCCGTCTATCAAAGACGAGTGCTTCTTTGGTGCATATTAATTTTGTAAACTTTCTCACAATTTTTTTAATAAAAAATATGATGTGATAAGTAGATATGAAAAAGTAGGGGTAAAAGTGGTTTTGGAATCAGACATAAAATCTAGTTTCCTAGCCACAAGGAAATTAAAGCTATAGTATATTTCGAATGTAGATTTCTTAACAAAATTAAAGCTCAAATTTTAAAATTTTAGTTACCAAGTGTTAAAATTCAAAATACTACTCCCTCCGTTCCATTAACCATTCCCATTTTGACTTTGGGCTAAAATAAGGAAAGTATATTTTTCGTTAACTTTTCAATTTTACTCCTGATGCGATGGGTAAAAGTAAGATGTGATAGTTTGGTTATTAGTGAAAAAGTCTGACGTGATAAGTATGGTATAAAAAATAGGGGTAAAAGTGATTTTTTAAAACAAAGTAGGAGTATTTTAGGAAATTGGGAAAAAAATGAAAGATGAAGGGTTTAATTGAACGATTGGAGTAATAGCTAAATCTAAACATTAACGTTGTTGCCAAAGAGACCCTGACACTATACTATTGCTTTGATCCTTGGATTCCTAGAGCTTGATTCCTTAATATGACTATAAACTAAGTGTTATCACTTAGAACGCCCTAGTGTACGCGAAGAAGGATCACGATGCCTCTATAGCACCAAAATGTTTGTCGCATTACGTAAAACGATACGAAAGCTCAAAATTTTCAATTCATTTAATTTAAAGATTGGTATAAAATAAAATTTACATATTTAAAAACTACATGAAAAAAGTTTTCAAAAAAAGGTAATACGAATATTTTATTTTACCAAATAATCAACCAAAACGAAAAAATAAACAAAAGTTCATGTGAATTTTTATTACAAAAATTAATAAACAAAAGTTAATAAACCAAAACGAAAAAATAAACAAAAGTTCATAAAAATTTTCTTATATGATACTGAGTACCGAGTATGAATTAATAAACAAAAGTTAAAATTAGAAAAATAGTCGAGAAAAAAGGGAAAATTATATTGTACATCCGGTTGTACCTAATTTTGGGTATAACCAAAAAATTATTTATGGTATGAATTTTAGTAAGAGTGGGCCCACATTGTGGAAGTACCGGTTCTAACCTGGATTTTACGAGAAGGTATATGGTACAACCGGATGTACCTAGAGATAGGTACATCCGGGTAGTACTCATTCTGAAGTAGAATAGTACTCATTCTCGCACAAATATAATTAGTGTGGTACTCATTCTAAATTAATGCAGTACTCATTTCACGCATTGGTTTAATATAATTATAATATTCATCTACAAATAATGTAGTGTTCATTCTGAAACAAAACAATACTCATTCTCAAATAACTTAGGGGCTGTTTGGCAACTTCTGAATAGGTAAGTGTTGAACCAGTAAGATGTCTGAACCATTAAGTGCTGAACAAGTAAGAGGTCTGAACCATTAAGAGCTAGTATATTGCTTAACTATTCAGAGGCAAACGTCTGATCAATTCAGATAAGAGGTCTTAACCATTCAGACTCTGTATAATACTTAACCATTCAGAGGCAAATGTCTGAGCCATTCAGACATCTGAACCATTAAGAGGCTGAAACAAACAGTCTGAACCATTAAGTGCTGAACCATTCAAACATCTAAACCATTAAGAGGCTGAAACAAACAATCCCTTAGTATTCAATGTCATGTAAAATAAAATCGATACTATAAATAATTTCTTGGCTGTACCCAAACAAATTGGATACAACCTTATGTATAATATGATTGCCAGATTTTACCATCATTATTCATTATCATTAATCTTCAAACAAAGGCTTTCCTCTGGAAGATTTCAATTTCGGATCTCAAACCCCAGATGACGAAGAACGCCGGTACACAATCCCTTCCGGAGTACTTAATCAGAGACATTCTCAGGCGACTGGAGGTGAAATCCCTGATCCGATTCCAATGTGTGAGCAAACAGTGGAAAACCCTCATCAACGCCCCATCTTTCATCGCCGAACACCTCCGCCGTCAGTCCCCTTGTCTTCTATTCCAAGGGGAAGCACATCGGAATTTGCAGTTACGGTTACTCGATCGTGATTTGCAGGCCCGGGAAATGCAAGTGCAGCCTTCTGTTTTCGGCCTTGAATCTCCTAAAATCGTGGGTTCCAGTAATGGCTTGCTCTGTTTGCGAATCGAAAAGGAATTGCATCTGTCCACCATTTTGTTGTGGAATCCAGCCATCCGAGAGCTCCGGATAACTCCGAGATTACTTGGTCGTCGTATGGATTTCTTGAATGTAGGGTTTGGATTCAGTCCCATTATTAATGATTACAAGGTAGTGGTTATTCGGCGTCCAGATTATTACAGTAGGACTCCTCATGTGGATGTGTATTCGTTAACCTCAGGCTCATGGAAATCGGTAGATCATAACATCTTAGAGGGCATTCGTCTAAAGGGCTCGAGGGTGATTGCAAATGGAGTTATGTTTTGGCATGTGGGGAATGATGATGCCGATATGATACTTTCATTTGACATAGCAATGGAAGTGCTCACATTAATTCCATTTCCAGTCGTTGCAAACCGTGATTTGTGTATTAAGCTTGCGGTTTACGGGAACAAACTCGCTATGCTTGTTAAAGATTGCTCTTGGAGAAACTCAAAACCTGAATGTATTGATTTGTGGGTGATGGACGAAGGGGATGTAGCAGGTTCATATGGTCATGAGAAACGGAGTTGGACTAAGAAATGTAACACCTTTCCTTGCAAGGTACATCCCCGGACGATCTGGAATAATGAAATCGTGTGCCAAGTGTGGGAACATGAGAAACCAAGAGTTGCTCTCTTCAACGTCACTACTAGGGAGTTCAATATAACTGGCATGCATGACTCCAAGTGTTTCAATTATGTGGAAAGCCTTGTGCAAGTTGGGGGAAACAAGTTGTATGCAACATTTACGTAGGGCCTGAAGATGAACCAAAGCTCACTCTCGTCTTATGCAACGTGGTGTAGTGATGCCTATGGTAACAATCCTTTATCCCAAAGTTCGATTTTTAACATTGTAGTTTAAGGACTAGTTTGTCTAAGATTAGAGGGCAAAAAGTGATGTTGGCTGATTAATTATAAGGGAGTTGTTGGGGGGTAAAGATGGAAGAAGTGTTGAAATTAAACTAGAACTAGATTGTTTTCAACATATCACCTTGTTTTGAATTTTTTTCAAGGGTCATCTAACAAATGCCTTCATTTTTTAATCAACAAGAGTCACTCTTTTCCCTTTTATTATGAACAAACGGCCTTATAATCTGCCTTAGAGAGAAGCTATCTGCAATTATGAATATATATACCTCATTTTTAGTTTTATTTCACCTGGATTAACTTTAATTTCAGCTTGTTTTTTTTAAATAATACATTCAAGTACTCTCTAATTGCTTTGCTTTCTTAATATTTCCAAAATAAGTACTACGTACTACGTAGTAGTTAACTAGAACTTGTATTAAGGACTAGAACTCGGAAGGAGTATGATTTAGGTGGCGGATGTGGATTAATCAGAACTTATTCGTTTTGGCATTGTTGGTTTAACTTCTTATGAATGTGTTTGTGACGGATTTTTAAAAGAGTTTTTTGCGCCATTCACTCCCGAAGGAGTATGATTTTGGTGGTGGATGTGGATTAATCAGGACTTGGTAGTTTTGCCATTGTTTGCTTAGCTTCTTATGAAGGCGTTTGTGACTGATATCTAAAAGAATCTTTTGTGTCATTTATTATCCAACTCTTCATAAAGTGCATATTTTCCTCTCAAAATTTTAAATTTGCACATTTAGTCCATATACTTTTTATAAACTGCGTGTTATACCTCCTTACTCTTCATCAAGTACATATTTCCCCCCAGACTTTCAAAAATGAGCTATTAGTCCCTATACTTTTCAAAGTTCTCATAAAAAGCATGTTTTTTCTTGAAAATTTTAAAAGTGCATCATTAGTCCTATATTTATAAAAATGATGCATGTTAAAACCTTTAAATTTATGTTGGTTGAACATGGTCTTTAACCAAACTTGAATAAGAAGAAAAAATAACGTAAAGGACACATTTGCTAATTGTTTTTTGTCATCAAAGTCTTCTCGAGCCTTAGTGGACAGGGCTGTTGGAGTTTGATGAAGATGCCTTTTATTAAAAATAATTTCAATGTTGGTTAAAGGTACTACTCAACAAAGATTAAATCTTGAATATGTAATGCATATTGTTTTTCGTAAAGTTTCTTGAAAAAGAAAAAAACGTTCATCAATAACGTCTTCATCAAGCTGTAGCAGACGTGTAAACTAAGGTGTGAGAAGAAGATTTTGACAAGCAGATAGTTAGTAGCCATGCCCTCAAAGTTATTTTTATTCAAGTTTGGTTAAAGATGTAAGATGTTGTTCAACAAAGAGAAATTTTTAGGGTTTCAACCATGCACTATATTTCTTATAATATAGCAGCAATAGTGCACTTTTGAAAGTTCGAGAAGAAAAGCACACACCTTATGAAAAATATTAGGACTAATGGTGCCTTTAGGAAAGTTTGCGGGAAATATGTACGTTATGTTGAAAAAGAAAATTCCAACACTTTATAAAGAGCTCGAGAGTAGAGCATGGTCTTTATGAAAAGTATACAGACTAGTGTGCATTTTTGGAAGTTTAAGGGATAACATGCACTATATAAAAAATTTGGGGTGAATGATGCATAAAACTTGTTATTTAAAATGATTCTCAACTCCTTTTTTTGGAATAGTGGAGTGTTTGCTTTTTTTTGTTTTTTAAAATGTGTTTTAGACTTTGTTAAAATAATCACTTTACATGGAAATATTAAGTGCACTAAAAAACCATCTATATCATACTATATCATAACATCTATTTGGAATTTTCCTTCCAAGTCCTAGTTTAATCTCGAATTTTCTAAAACTATACTCATCACTTGATCAATACTTTTTGTTTAATCATATGGGTATACACACATTCATCAGATATTGTATGGGTTCTTTGATAATGGAACCAAGGAGTCATAATTGACCATTTATTTTCTTTATTAAGGGTTTCTTTGGGTTTTGGAGATATGATATGATATGGATTTTGAAATCTAATTTAAAAATGATATAGGTTTCAAAACCTGAAATGAAGTTGCTAGAAAGGATTTAAAATCATGATTTAATTAGTGATTGGCAGGGGTTGTCAGCAACGAGAGTGGTTGGCGGTGATAGTGGTAGGGAATGGTTGGTGATTGAGGGAGATATCAGATCCTCACATTGATGTCTCCCAAATTTGAAAGATATAAAAACTCTTCATTTAAAAAATTTGTAATATTTGAATATATTGAATTCAAATTCTTGTTTGACAATGGAAATAGTTGGCGAACAATCATTTGAAATGAGTATTTGCAACTATGTACCTCTCCCTTCCGCACAAGCGTAGAGACTTTGGACCTCTTTCACTCTAGCCACTACGTACCTTACGGTCGAATGAGTTCAACAAATTTCAGACGTTGGTCGAGTGACTAAATGAGTTAAACTATGTGAAACTAAATTTTATTTGTAAACATCTGAAATGCTTTCTCAACAAGCATCACAATCACAGAGAAGCAAGTGAGTCAAAGATTAACTGGTTAGACTAATTGAATTAGGTGAATGACCTACTTAACATATCGGCCTACTAGTTCAATTGTTCTTTTATAGTGCGTATTATATACTCCCTCCGTCCCCCTGTATTTGTCTACATTTGACTTTTGGAACTATTCATCTAATCACTTTGACTCATCGAATTCTCTCAATGTGTAAGTCTAAATATAGTCATGTGTGATCTTGTTTGATTTGTCTTAACATATAGATTATTAATATATAATTTTTATAATTTTTTAATATACAAATTACAAGATAAAATGGATTAAAGAAGTGCATTGGATGGTATGTAAAAATGAAAGTGGACAAATATAGGGGGATAGAGGGAGTACTACGTAACACTTCAAACTTAAATTTGATTGAAATGGGAAAAAAATAAATGGTACCGAGTAACATACGATTAATTATTTGTGTATTTTGGGTGTTACTTTCTTATTTTACCCTCATTTTTTAATGTAAAAATAAGATGTGATTGATAAATTAATAATGAATTGATAAAATGTTATAAATAGAGTATTCATCGATAGGGTCTCTTCTATGTTTCACTTGTGTACTTGTAAAGTTTTTTTGATTTTATGTATCATGAATTATATTTTCAAAAAATAATAAAAATAATTGAGATTGTACAGTTTTCTAAAAAAGGAGAAAGACCAAAATAGGACTAAAACATTAAAAATATACTAAAATAGGACTTTCATGTTTTTATTTCCTAAAATGCATTTACATTACCAAACATGGTCATGTACATTACCAAAAAGTATAGTAATGTTTACATGTGCAATGTCACATTACCACAGTGTGAAGTCCTATTTCAAAAAACATGAAAGTCTTATTTTGGTATTTTTCTCTATGTTTTAATCCTATTTAGGGTGATTTCTATGTTTTTGGTACGGGGCATAGAAAATTCTGAAATCAGAACGGACCTGGCTTAGACCCGAACTGGGGCCGGCCCGATTCAACCCCAATTCCACATTAATCCCTAGGGGTGATCTGAGCGTGGTACGGTATTTAGTCCGTACCGATACCGTACCAAATATATCGGTTCGGTATGGGATTTTACATCGTACCGATCCTTAGAGCGCATTCATCTAAAGAGCGATTGTGTGACTGCAAACGGGGCTATGTTCTGGCATGGGGCGAAGGGCGATGCCGATATGATAGTTTCATTTGACATGGCAACAGAAGTGTTCACGCTAATTCCGTTGCCAGTCCTTTCAAACCCTAATTTGTGTTTCAGGCTCGCGGTTTACGAGAAGAAACTCGCTATGCTTGTTAAACGTGGGTTATTGGAAAACTCAAAATCCGTCGTTATGTGGGTGATGGACAAGGGGGATGAAGCGGGTTCAAATGGTGAGAGATGGAGTTGGACGGAGAAATGTAACACCACCTTTCCTTGCGAGGTTGATCCCTTGAGGATTTGGAAGCATGGAATCGTGTGCAATGTGATTGAATATGGGAAATCGAGAATTGCTCTCTTCAACGTCGATTCTAGTGAATTTAATATGCTAGTTGTACACGACTCTTACGAGTGTTTCGATTATGTGGAAAGCCTTGTGCCATTTAGGGGGAAAGAAGTTGAATGCAACATTTATGTAGGGTTTGAAGAACCCTTTATTAGTGCGGTTGAAGGTGATGAACTAAAACTCACTCTTATCTTTGTTTAATCTCACGAGTATCTGTTAGCATTTGAAAAAGAAAAATACTTTTACCTCTTGACCAAGACTCTTCGTTTAATCAGATATTGTATGATATGAGTCCATTGACAATGGAACTCAAAGACTCATTTTTGACAATTTATTCTCTTCATTACTCCCTTCTCAAATTAAATTGTTGTTTACTACTCCCTCTGTCCACAATAGATCTTCTCAGTCACTATTCACAGGGTCAAACTTTACCCACTTTGTTTACTCAATTTTACTAGTCATTTCATAAAATAATATATTCTTGTCACCTCTAGTTTTGTAGAACTTTTCATGTAGTTTATTACTATATAAATTTTATTTTAAAATTTTACTCCTATAATCAATTAAATTGAACTGAAAATAAAGTCGGTCAAGCTTCGTAATGCGTAATGAGAAGATCATACATAGACGGAGGGAGTACTATTTACAGTGTCAAATTTTCTTGACTTTCTTTTTTGTATTTTAGTTACCGGTGGTGTTCTAGTGACACCCACATTTGGTGACACTAGAACCCCACCATTTAGTTATTAATGTAATTAAATAATATAGTCATTTCTATTTTTGTTTCATAGAATTTTGATGTAGTTTTTAAATATTTAATTTTATTTTTTAATTCTAACACAATTCTCAAATAAATTATATAGAGTATTGAAAATTATTTTAGTCAATCATCAAAAAATGAAATAGACTATTTAGTAAAAGGTATTTTTTTTGAAGGCTAGTAAAAGGTATATTATCATGCAAATAAAAATAAATGGGGACTCATCAATCAATGGGATTCGAAGGTATATTTATCATATACGGAGTAAGAAAAATACTACCTCCCTCTCACTGTCTTTGTCCACTTTTGACTTTTGGAATCGTTCATCTAAGCACTTTGATTCATCAAATTCTCTCAATGTGTAAGCCTAAATATAGTCATGTGTGATCTTGTTTGATTTGTCTTAACATATAGAATATTAATATATAATTTCTATAATTTTTTAATATACAAATTACAAGATAAAATGGATTAAAGAAGTGCATTGGATGGTGTGCCAAAAGGTAAGTGGATAAAGACAGTGCATTGGATGGTGTGCCAAATTACAAGATAATTTCTTTTTGTATAGTACTACTTTGATTTTTTAAATTCTATATTTTTCTCAATTAAATATGGAGGGTGTATTTATCATGAATTTTAATTTATATTATAATGTCATCCATTCATATTCATATTTTTAAAATATCTATGGACTATGTATAAAATCATGCACGAACTTATAATCATATTTTTAAAAGGGTAATTTACCTAAATAGGACTAAAACATAATGACTTTATCAATATAGGACCATATGTTTTTTTTGAAACGAAATGCACATCTTCATTCATCTCCCAAAACTGTTACTAATATATCTATTTTTACCCGTTTCAATCGCGAGTGATGAACGGATCGGGTGATTGGTGATGTATGTAAAGAATAATAATTTGATCAGATGATAAATATAGAATCGATGAATAGACGAAAAAGAAACTCCACCCGACCAAAACCTGGCCCGTTTTCATCCCTAAGTCCAAATGAAATTACAACATATCTTTAATTTTGAAAAATTCAAGAGAAATTTACCTAAATAGGACTAAAACATAATGACTTTCCCAATATAGGATCATATGTTTTTATTTCCCAATGTAGGAGTTTTGGTCATTATCAATTAGTCATTATTCAACTAAATGTCTATCATTACTGGACATTATTCCTTCTACTAGGTCATTATTAAGTCTTATTTAAGGAATAAAAAAGTTTAAGTCCTACATTAGGAAAGTCATTATGTTTTGGTCCTATTTAGTAATTTTAAGCTCTCAATAGTTTCTTTTACTCTCTCCGTTTCTAAAAAAATTTTTTGTTTCATTTTTGCATATCCCTAATATACTTCTCTATATATATATATAGTGTTTAAGATTCATCATATTTTCTTTTATTATAAGTATAAATTATTTTAGTGGGTATAATTATTTTATGGGATGCATAAAAAATGATACATGAGATTTTCTTTATAGACGAAAGGATTAATATTTTTTCAATTCTAATGAGAGTTTAAAACAAATCCTTTAAATATTAAAATAAACTCCGTAATTCTTTTTGTATAGTACTACTTTGATTTTTTAAATCCTATACTTTTCTCAATTAAATATGGAGGGTGTATTTATCATGAATTTTAATTTATATTATAATGTCATCCATTCATATTCATATTTTTAAAATATCTATGGACTATGTATAAAATCATGCACGAACTCATAATCATATTTTTAAAAGGGTAATTTACCTAAATAGGACTAAAACATAATTACTTTCTCAATATAGGACCATATGTTTTTTTTGAAACGAAATGCACATCTTCATTCATCTCCCAAAACAATACAAACGACCCCACTTTAACACAAAAACAACATACAATTGACAAACATCAACACCTACTTACTCCTTGATTTCCTTCCCTAGAAAGTAGTCAACTGGCTTGTTATATGATTAAAACGCATCTCTACATCAGGTTTCTCTTTCCTATGGAAAAGGCAGTTCCTTGTTTTCCATATATGGTAGCACGCTGCTGCATAGGTACTTATGCCTTGATCTCTTCTTCATCTTCCTCTTATACTCATCAGTGCATCCCTAACCTCTTGAACATTGTTTCCTTCCATCTTTATTCCCACCCAGACAGTTAGCCTCTTAATTAGGGTACTAGAAAAAGTACAGGTACAGAACAAATGGTCAGCATCTTCATCCATTTCATTGCATAGTCCACAGATCTTGTCAATGGGAATATATTTCCCCAACCTATCTTTTGTGTTTACTCTTCCTTTACATATAAGCCAGGAGAAAAACTGATGTTTAGGGCATGACATTTTGTTCCAAGCAAATGAAATCCAAGCCTCCTTCATCCTCTGTCCAAGCCACTTATAACCCTCTCCAGTTGTGTTGGGAAAATCACCTCAATTTTCTAGCGGAAGCAATAAATAATTTCCCCGTCTTTGTGTTGTCAAAATGGGCAAAATCATATGACCAATCAAGAATAGCAAAAACAACGACAAGCAATCAATCAAGCGATAAACGAACACCAAGATTTAACGTGGAAACCCCAAATCGGGGAGAAAACCACGAAGCCTTCCACTAATCACCAAGAAAATCAGTGGGTACACCAAGAATCTTCTCTAAAT